GCTTGTATACTAAATTTCTCAACTTAAACGTTTGTCTTTTGTTCAAGTTACTATGTCCTGAACTTCTAAGCTCTGGAAGCAAAAGTGACTGAGCATGTGCAAATCTACATAGATTGAAAACCAATAAATTTACATTGTATTTCTAGCACCTTTATGGACTATGATAACCAATAGTAGTTCAGAATAGGGGTTAGAAACCACAAATCCCTGTTTATTTGAATAAATCTTTACAGAACCCTCCTACACTGGCTACTTCACATAAACTTGCCTTGGGAATTTAATGCATGAATTCAACCAATTTCCTGTACCCTCTACAGGGCTCTTAAAATGTCTTTAGGTAAAATCTGAGAGCCAGGTGTGGTGGCAGAGGCCTGTAATCCCAGAGGTTTATAATTGTGATTTGAAAGACAGTCTCAGTATCTTAGCAAACCTCTAAGTAACTTAGCGACACATTGTCTCAAAATAAAACATACAAAGGACTGGGGATGTGGCTCAGTGGTAAGCACTCCTGGGTTCATCTCCTAGTGCCAAACCAACTAAGGTACACAAATTTCTGAAAGATGACAATTATGCCAGTGTACATATACATGTAAAAATATTGGTGAAAATATAAAATTAATAAATATATTTTTTGAAAAAAGTGTTAAGTTTCTTCAAAAGCTAAAGATAAAACTGACATATAATCCACTAATAATAATGTTGGGTAGAGGAGGAAGGCTACACATGCCTATGCTCCCAGTGGCTCAGGAGATAAGAAAGGAGAATCTCAAGTTCAAGACCAGTCTCAGCAATTTGGCAAGGCCGTAACCAAATGAGTGAGATGCTGTCTCAGAAAAGGGGAACAGGTTGGTGTATAGCACAGTGACAAAGTGCCCATGGGTTAATCTAGGGTGACTCAATAAATAAAAATAATAATAATAAATCAGGGTAAAAAATGCCATACAATCCAGTAATAATATTTCTGGGCACACATCTAGATGAATTGGAAAACTTTTCTCAAAGAAATAACTGCAATTCCATTTTCATTGTAGCTTTATTCACAGTACAAAAAAAAGAAAAGAAAAGAAATGCCAGCCAGGCATGGTGGGAAATGCCAGCCAGGCATGGTGGGAAATACCTGTAATTCCAGGGGCTTGGGAGTTTGAGGCAGAGGATGGAGAGTTCAAAGCAGCCTCAGCAATGGTAAGGCACTAAGCAACTCTCATTTTCCAAAGAAAATGTATAATAGGGCTAGGGATGAGGCTAAGTGGTGGAGTGCCTCTGAGTTTAATTCCTGGTATGCACCCCCCAAACAAACTTCCTTTTAGATGAAAGGAACATCAGAAGATTCCTTCCAGCTTCACAGCATCCAACTACTCCCCTTAGATGCTACACACTTATAGTTCAAACTGATCTCTAGAAGAGAAGACTCAGATACTGATATTTTCTAAATAGACTAAGAGACATTGGTATCTGTGGACACCTTATGTCAGACTGTTCTAAAACTAAGGACTGGGCAAATATGGGATGTTGGAATGAGAACACAACACACAGTTAAGTTCTTCAAAGGGGAATCTTAACTCAGACACTGTGATATCTGATACCACAGTTGAAGATAAAATTATTCAATTCTTTGCTTCACTGATTTCTGGATTATTAATTCAATCCAAACAGATATTGAAAAAGTATTAAGGCTACTGGTTAATGTCTATGTAAAACAGGTTATTAAAAATGTACCAGGTTAGGGCTGGGGTTTCGGCTCAGTGGCAGAGCGCTTACCTAGCATGTGTGAGGCACTGGGTTCTATTCTCAGATCCACATACCAATAAGTAAAATAAAAGTCCATTGACAACTAAAAAAAAAAATTTTTTTTTAAATGTACCAGGTTACTCACATGGTTTTTGATGTTCAGATTCACTATGTACTCTAGCCTTTGTGATTAAACTTCCTTGTAGTTTAAAACAAGTCCAGTCCCATCTTTATTTTCCTCCACATTAGGACAAAAATGTTTGCTGGAAATTTTTGGAATGCTTCTACAGTTCATTTTAATAAAGTGGTCTTATATATGGGGGGCCCTCAATTAAGGTCCCATTACATTAAAAAAAGTCTTCAATTGGGACTGTGAGGATGGTCTTAGCCCTGAGCTTAAACAGCTCCATTTAAAAAACTCCAGTTTGAAACCTGCAGTCTCACCAGGCACACCCAAAGAGTCCTCCAGTATGGCCTAAAAAAAGTTACTTCCCCTCAACCTGATAAACAGAGTAAAATATCTGGCAGGCTATACTTGCCTGATAAGAGGGAAAGACAAGAAGATCAGGGTGGAGACCACAAGACCAGAAGTTTTTAACCCCAGGCTAAATGATTCATGGAGAATTCCCATGATAGCTAATAAGAATTGAAAGAGAGGTTAAAAGCCCCCAAATTTAGTATAAATAATAGAGCTAATGAGCAGAGATTTAGCCAGCAGAAACAAGGATGTACTCAAGCTGAAGAGCCTGATGAGGACCTGACATCCCATCACTTGTCATTATTCTTCTGATCCTCTGCATGATTTTCTCATCTCTCAAACTCTACCACTTCATCTGGACTTTGGTGAAAGCCACAACTTCTCCATAGGTTCTCTCCTCAACCTGTTGTCCACTCCGAGCCAGGAGAAGCCTGCCTTGGTTTTGGACCTTGTCACCATGGTCTGAGTGAGTGTGCATCTGCTGCACTAAAAGCCTAAGGCTTAAAACTTTTGATCTGACATTTAAACTTAGAACACAGAGGGAATGTCTGTCACTAGCCTGTCATGATTAACTGAGTTTTGCAGAGTTTAAAATTAATCTAGAATTGTTAGCAGTAAATTAATCAAATTATTATTTTTTTGCTGTGAATAGATTATGTCCATTGCAATGCGTACCATTCAGGATTGTTATTTTCTTGAGTAAGAACCTATAGAGTATAATTGTATTGAGCAATTTGAGTGAATAAAGCATTGAAAGGGGCAGAAGCATGTGGACACTTTTTATTTCTCTCCTTGACAACATATGTCACAATTTTGCCCCCTGGTGACTGGGACACATTGACTATAGTATTTTATTTAGAAAAAAGTCATTATTTTTAATGTCATCTAATTTTTCCCTGATTCTTTCTTATGTGAAAGACTCATAAGGATAAAGCAAAATCTTTTAAAACTGCCCTCCAGTTCTTGGAGAAGAAAATTACAAATAAGCATCTCTTTAAAACAAAACATAAGAAAAAATTATGTTGAAACTGAAGTTTTGAGATGAAATTAAATTTCCCATTTAACCAATTATATCTGGGATCTTTTTCACAAATTTTGAAGAATAAAATCTATGGACACTCAAGGGAGGTAAGAGTAAAAAAAATAGGATTTATTTTAGCAAGAAGAAATAGAACTCCCACAATGTGGGAGAGGGCGTGATAGCAGAAGAACCCTTTTTTTTTTTTTTTTTTTTTTTGTGCCAGCTTCGAAGTTTATATATGGTTTTTGGAGAGCATGGGGCAAAGTCTATTTAAAATGAGTACTGAAAAAGGCATTCTTATTACCAACTGGGTTCATATTTTTCCTTTCTGTATCCCATCTTCCTTCCAGTGACTCCCAACTGGGTTCACTCCAAGGACAAAGAATTTGGTAGAAGGTATTCCAAGAGTGAGTCTCAAGGTTTTTTAATTTGAATAGGCCTTAATGGTGCTCATTAACATATCTATCCATTAGCCTCCAGATGTGGTTAAATAAGATGACCATTATACAGCTGCCTGGTCATTTCACTATTTATTTTATTTTATTTTTTCTCAATCAAGGTGAGCAGGGAACCCTGCCTTTGTGAAGAGAGCTGGAAATTTGGGATTTAATCTCAGACCTATAAATAGCTAAACTATCAGATAGCCATTCTGGATTTGAGATACTTCTTAGTCTACATTTAGAAAGCTCAGGAGGCATGAGGATGGTGAGTTCAAAACCAGACTGAGCAACTTAGTGAGGTTCTAAGAAACTCAGTGAGACCCTGTCTCTACATAAAAATACAAAAAGAGGTTGAGAATGTGGGTCAGTAGATAAATACCTCTGGGAATAATTCCTGGTCTAAAATAAACAAACATATAAACAACAAAAACAAACACTCAGGAGGAGCAAGAACAGGGGTCCCTAAAAAAGCTACAGCTTCTCTCATGCAGGAACACAACTAATGAAGTTGGGGCCCTCTTCCCAGTCTTCACCACACAATCTGGGGACATGCTGAGCTAATGGCACACAGATGCCCACATAGGAATTCAGGAAGGCTCTGAAACACCATACAGTTATGGAACAAAAGACTTGAGGTCTCAAATACTGATATGAGCTCCACTAGACTAGTCAGAGAAAACTGAAGGCTAAGCTGCCATGGAGAGACCCTCTAGCCACCAGACTCTGGAGACAATTATGGGGAGTTTTCAGCCACCATTGCCAGTCCCATTGGCTTCAACCAACCTCCCTACCCAGTCTAAAAACAAGAACACACACTTACCATTTCCTGGCTTTCAGGTGAAAGACCTAAGCAATTTCATTCTGCTTGGGATCTTATTTTGCTCTGAAACTTAACCTCTGACTTATTGTAATCCTAGTCAAGAAAAAATCTACAGAAAAGCTCTGTGGAAAGAGTCCAGTTCTCAGAAAAGCCGGAAAAGCCGCAGATAGGCCAAGATAACCACATATCTGAAATTCCAGATGGCTTCCACCTAGGTGTGGTGACCAATATCTAAACTAGAAGCCCTGCAGTTTGGCACGTACTCCCCTTGTGACATCCTCACGGTTTAAACCAATCAGTTTAAATGAATCCCCCTTTTGTAGTGACCAATCCCTCCAACCAACTTGTTCCTGCCAGTGAATGTGCTAATCATGTTTTAGAATTGTTATTTGATTTTCCCGTGGTGTGTGATGATTTGCTAGGAGATGCTATGATGTATGTGGGGGTCCCTGCCTTCTCCAAAGAATGCATAAAACTACTGCAAAACCTGGGCTCGGGGCCTCTTAGCGTCACCTGTTGCTGTGTGTGTGCGGAGGACCGAGCTAGCTCGCAATAAACACCTCTTTGCTGCTTACATCGATCTTGGGTCTCTGGTGGTCTTTTGGGGGTCCTGAATTCGAGCATAACACAGGATGCTTAGTGTTCCCCATGTAGTTTTTTTTCAGCTCCAGTGTAGCACAGAAACCTGGAAACATAAAAATGGATTCAATGAAGGCAGGCTCCAGAAAAAAAAAGGAACAGAAGACTGTGGAAGCCCACCCCCTCACCACTGGCTGTGTCTTGGTTGGGCAGTTCTCACCCAAGAGACAGATTGGAAATGGCTTCAGGAACTTCCTCCAAAATTGAGCCTTGTAGTGATACTGCCAGTTATTGGTGACAAGTCTTAGTTTCCCTCATGTTGAACTCCGAACATTAGAGAAGCTTGCTAAGGCAAGCATATGAAGCAGGGTTTATTTAGAAAAGGGTAACATAGACTTCTCCCATGAGGGAGAAGGGGGACATAGCTGGTATCATGGTATCCCAAGAAGCAAGGGATTCTGCCCTTTTTATACGTCCTAGGCTTCCTTTGTTTTCCTGCCTTTCCCCCCTTATCTTTATCCTTCCTGAGGACTGCCTAGGCCCAGAAAGTCTTGGTGGGATGACCTAATGGTGGGAAATAGGTGGGTTGAAGGGGGAAGGGCAGGATGGAGTAGACAAGGACACATTAACAACCTTATAGCTCCCTATAGGGAGGGGAAATTCCTGGGACAGGTTACCTTGGCAACAGGAGCAGGGGCATATTCTTGATACTATCCCTCAGGGGACAGTCTCCAACTTCCCAGATTCACTCAAAATTGGCTTCCTAGATTTAACCTGACTGGATTTACCTATCTACACTGACTGCCTGTCTAATTCTGGTTTCAGTAGGCCTACTGTTTGAGTGACAGTAAATTGCATCCAGATCAGAATCAAGTAAGGACACAAAGACAGGTTTTTGGCTGCTCTGTTTTTGTTGATCAAACACTGGGGATCCACCACATGCAGAGGTGCATGCCTGTAATCCCAGCAACTAGAGAGTCTGAGGCAGGAGGACAGTGAGTTCAAAGCCAGCCTCAGCAATGGCAAGGCACTAAGAACCTCACTGAGATGCTGTGTTTAAATAAAATACAAATAGTGTAAGGGTAAAAGAAATTGAAGTTAAAGTGTAAAAGACCGACATTGTAAAGTTTCTAAGCTGCAAGGCCTGAGTTAAAATGTAAAGGACCAGGTATTGTTAAGTTCCTATGCTACATGCAAAACCTGAAATTCCTGTAGCTGTTAAGACAATGCTTGGAACCGCCCAGTAAATATCTCCCCTGACCGCCTGGTTGTTTAATAACTTAGGGCCCTGTGTGGCCTTGCACGTAGGCATCCAAGGGCCTGGACCAATCAGTTTGAATGTGTACCCCGCTTTAGAACTGACCTATCACCCCTGCCAGACTTGTTCCCGCCAATGAATGAACTAATCATGTCTCAGAATTGTTGTTTGATTTTCCCGCGGTGTATGATGATTTGTTAAAGGAGACTGTGATGTATGTAAAGTTCCCGCCCTCCCCAAAAAAGTGTACTTAAGCAGTGCTCAGCCCCTGCTCAGGGCTCTGGGCTGCTCTCCCTTCTTGAGTGGGCACGGAGCCCCAGCATGCTGGAATCTCAATAAATCCCCTTCTGCTAATTGCATGAGTGGTCTCTTGGTGGTCTCTCCCTCCGACGCTTCGCCGGTCCCTTACAATAGGACTGTGAATGTGGTCTCAGTGGTCATGTGCTCCTGAGTTCAACTGTCAGTAGCAAAAACAAACAAACAAACAAACAAACAAAACACTGGTGATCGGACCCATGGGTATTATTCACTACAGAGCCCCAGGACCACAGAAGAATGGATTGATGGATAGATAGAAACAGATAGAAACATAGATAGAGTCCTGGGGAAGGGTCTCAACATCTCCTATGATGGCTTTTCAAGTAACTGATATTACAGGAATGCTCCACAGCCCTGGAATCTTTTTTTTTTTTTTTTGCTGTGAATTGCATTAAGAGCCTCAGGATAAAATTATTTCATGGCAGAGTTCCCTCCAAATATGTAGATCTAGCCCAGACAGAAGTGCATATATATAAAAATGAAATATCACAATTACTTTAAATTTTTATTTAATATTTCTGTTCTGTGGTCTTATGAGAAAACAGCTTGAGACTTCAACTCATAAGTAATTCCCCAAGGTAGCAATGTCCCCCACTCCCCTACAAAAAAATGGAGCACAAATAAAATTTTAAAGTTTCTAGTATTAACATTTACAATAAACAAGAGTTGAATGGTGCCAAGTCTCTAGATCTCTCAGTATTCCAGAACCTAGAGTATAAGGAATCAAAAAATAAATTATTTGCAATTTGGCCTTGAGCATAATAATAGAACTATGATGTCTGTTTTTTCTTTGGTATGGGGTACGATGAGAATATTAGCACAAACAATAGGCATTTATGTCTATACTTATACTTTCTATAATTCAATACAGCCCATCAACAGAGTCAACTTCAAATTTAAATGAAGAAAAAATTAATTATTATTGCCAAGGTCCAGCCCTAACAGAAATCCAGAGGTCCTGAAGCAAGAGTAGCATGGGGTACTGAAGTATAAGTTGCTTCAGCAAAAGAAGAGGAGACAGAATGACAGGTTGCAAGTTACAAGCAGCCTTCAGAAGGATCTGATGCCACTAGAGGGGCCTTTACATTTACACGTTTGTTACAGGTGTTTAATCATGTAGTTAATGAATAGCATCAAAGCCCCAAAGTTCTTTGATTTACATAATTTTTCAAGAGTTGCAATATTTCTGACATATATTAACTTCATAAGATATTGAACACATTGTTTAAAATATGTTCCTGTAACCTTTGCCAATCATGATTAAGCTTTTACATTTTCACCTCAATCACTAAGTACTAGACTGTGCAACTTGACTACCTGTATCTTGACCTATTATTAACTTTTAACTTTAAAGCATACCTATGATTATTGGTAAGCTTTTTTGCTTCTAAACTAAAGCCCTAGTAATACACACTTATTCTTATTATACATTATAATATTATAATTATAATAATTATATATGATTATAGTATAATAATTATATATATTATACATGATATATTATACATAATATATAATAATAAATAATTATAATATTATTATAATATTATAATAAAATTATAATAATATTCTTATAAGAATATTATTCTTATTATACTTATTATACAGTGAAACCTATTACTTAAAAGCCTACTATTCTGAACTGACTCTAAAATATATCTATATAAATTTTTACATTATTCTGTTTTTCCAAGGTAATTTTCTTTTTTCATATGACCTATTTAACTGATTTTAAAAGAGTTTCTTTAATCTTTCATCAAATTATACAAATTCTTATGTCTTTATATTCTTTAATTAAAGGGCAGGCTCTGCACTTCAACTCATTTGCTCTTAATATTAACTATGTGTTTCCCATTTTCATCATGAATTCCTGTGTAGGGCAAAGAAGGATCTGTTAGTGAAGGGAATATATGTTGCACAGGTTGTGGCTTTAGAATGAGGGACTTAGTGTAAACTGCTAAGCTTTTCTCAGGAACCTTGATTTGCAATCTTTTCCCTTTGAATTTCTTAAGAAATAACACTACTGTTTGTATTGTGAGAGATACTGAAACACATCTCAGGACATATCTTATTTGTATCCTTAGTCTAATTCTGGGAATTTTCCTGCAATCTCAGGCAACATGTACTTTTATTATTGATTGTTGTATGCCCTATTATCTATCTCATGAGTATCATGAACAAAACACTTAACATTCCCCATGGTTCTGGTTTCCTGGTGGTGCAGCCCTGTCACAGCATCCCCCACACTGTGACCCTCTCAGATAGCAGGTGCAGGAACACCTCCACCACACTATCTATAAGATACCAGCTAGTTTCCATATGGAAACTAGCTGGCATCTTGTGATTGAATCTTGGCATCCAGCCAATATTGAGTGGATTATTTATCTGTCATTGGATAACAAGTCATTCTAAAATGTATTCAGTCACTGGACCCTGAGCCATATCCCAAGCCTTATTTTGTATTTTATTTAAAGAAAGAGTCTCACTGAGTTACTTAGCACCTCGTCTTTGCTGAAGCTGGAATTGAACTCATGATCCTCCTGCTTCAGCCTTCCAAGATACTGGGATTACAGAAGTGCACCATTGCACTCAGCTCTGTTCACATATTTAATGCCAGCATTCCCTCTTTGCCTTGTCAACTATTTTTTTTTCTATTTTACATTTCAAATGAATGCAGTATTTCTATTTTTTTTCTCCAAGAACTGGATGGCGGTATAAAGATTTTCCTTTCTCTTTGTGAGCATTTCACATGAGAGAAAAGCAGACAACTGTAGTTTGAAAAATAAGAACAATGTGTCTCTGCTCTCTGTCTTCCCACATACAGATACCTTATCACAATATCTGATTTGAAATTCCTCCTTTTAGAATTTCCTGTGGGATGTGTCCTCATTCTAACCTCCCATATTGTCCTACTTGTGGGTTTCATAACTGCCTAACAAAAGGTTTGAACAGCCACCATGTCTAAAGTCTGTTGGAGTGTCTAGTAAATATCATTCCTTGGGTCTTTTCCCTCTAGAGAGCAGTATAAAGTATGAAGTGAAGGCACTCCAAGGAGTCTCTGATAGCCCTTCAGCTGGCAAGGATCTTTTAGTGATACAGGGCTGGGACACTCTAAAAAATTGAGGTAGTGTGAAGACCAACTCCTTCAAATGCAGATTTTTTTTCAATCAAGACAATAAGTTTCCAAACTTATCAATCAGAGTGGCAGGCAATGAGTTTATTAGAAGTGATGTGAAGGAGGAACAAGGTGACACTCTGACAGAAGAAAGTGTGTTCTCTCTGAAAAGAAAATAGCATGGCTCTCTTGCACTCCAGTTTTTTTAAAGATCTAAAAAAAGATCCCAAAGAGTCCTGCCCAGGTACAGTTCTTGACTTGGGACTGACAGCAGGATAACATCAAACTCTCAAGTATCCTCTGCCATGACAACTTTAGGTTAATTAGGCTCATGTTCACCCTTTCTAATTGAATTCTTAAGCATAAACTCACACAGAATTTATGGTAGTAGGGATTATCTTTATTTCCAGAATCT